GGGATTAGGGAATTTGGGTCAGGATTAATGGGACTCGAGTGCAAATTAATGAGATTTTGGTGGTAATTAATGGGATTTTTGTTAGAATTAAGGAATTTGCTAGGGAATTAGTGGGATTTTGGTTGGGATTAATGAGGTTTGGGTCAGAATTAAGGGATTCTATCACAGAATTAATGAGCTTCGATCCAGAATTTGGGGATTTTGGCCAGAATTGAGAGATTTGTTCTGGAATTAATGGGATTTGGGATAGAGTTAATGGGGTTTGGGCCAGAATTAAGAGTTTTGGTTTGTAATTAATGGGATTTGGGTCAGAATTAAGAGTTTTGGTTTGGAATTAATGGGATTTGGGTCAGAATTAATGGGGTTTGGGGTAGAATTAAGGGACTCGAGTTGAAATTAATGAGATTTTGGTTGTAATTAATGGGACTTTTGTTGGAACTAATGGGATTTGGGCCAGAATTAAGGGATTTTATTCCAGAATTAATGAGCTTTGAGCGAGAGTTGGGGGATTTGGGTCAGAATTAATGGATTTGGGCTGGAATTAATTGGATTTGGGCCAGAATTAAGGGATTTGGTACAAAATCAGTGGGATTTTGGTCAGAATTAAGAGATTTGGGCTGGAATTAAGGGATTTTATCACAGAATTAATGGATTTGGGTCAGAATTAAGGGATTTGGTACAAAATCAGTGGGATTTTGGTCAGAATTAAGAGATTTGGGCTGGAATTAAGGGATTTTATCACAGAATTAATGGATTTGGGTCAGAATTAAGGGATTTGGTACAAAATCAGTGGGATTTTGGTCAGAATTAAGAAATTTGAGCTGGAATTAATGTATTTTACTGCAGAATTAATGGGATTTGGGCCAGAATTAAGGGATTTTATCACTGAATTAATGGATTTGGGCTGGAATTAATGGGATTTGGGCCAGAATGAAGGGATTTTATCACAGAATTAATGGATTTGGGCTGGAATTAATGTGATTTCAATCAGAATTAAGGGATTTGGGCCGGAATGAAGGGATTTTATCACAGAATTAATGGATTTGGGCTGGAATTAATGTGATTTCAATCAGAATTAAGGGATTTGGGCCGGAATTAAGGGATTTTATCACAGAATTAATGGATTTGGGCTGGAATTAATGTGATTTCAATCAGAATTAAGGGATTTGGGCCGGAATTAAGGGATTTTATCACAGAATTAATGGATTTGGGCTGGAATTAATGTGATTTCAATCAGAATTAAGGGATTTGGGCCGGAATTAAGGGATTTTATCACAGAATTAATGGATTTGGGCTGGAATTAATGTGATTTCAATCAGCCTGCTCCCCCCCTCCCCCTCCTTCCTCCTCCTCCTCCTCCTCCTCGTCCTCGTCCTCGCTGCTGCACGTGGAGTTCCCGCAGGTGCCGCCGGCGCTGCTCTCCAACCTGAACCGGCAGCGCCTGCAGGGGCAGCTCTGCGACGTCTCCATCCGCGTGCAGGGCCGCGAGTTCCGCGCGCACCGCGCCGTGCTGGCCGCCTCCTCGCCCTTCTTCCACGACCAGCTGCTGCTCAAGAACCTGGACTGCATCGAGCTGCCCGGCGCCATGGACCCCGCGGCCTTCGCCGTGGCGCTGGGCTGCGCCTACACCGGGCGGCTCTCGCTGGCCCGCGGCGAGCTGCTGGGGCTGCTGACGGTGGGCAGCGTGCTGCAGATGTGGCACATCGTGGACAAGTGCACCGAGCTGCTGCGGGAGCCCGCCTCGTCATCGTCATCATCATCATCGTCATCGTCAGCACCAGCGTCGTGCTGCTCGCGGGTGCTGTGCAGCGAGCCGCAGTCCCCCAGCAGCACCAACGCGCTGGGCCCGGCCCCGCAGCCCGAATTCCCGGCGGGAAAAGCGGGCAGCGAGGAGGAGGAGGAGGAGGAGGAGGAGGAGGAGGAGAGCGAGGAAGGCCCGCGGGCCGCGCCCCGAAAGCCCTGGGTGCTGGTCAAGCGGCGCTGGCTGCAGGAGGACCTGGTGCTCACCTGCGAGGAGGATGAGGAGCCGCTGGGAGGGGGAAATCCCGGAATTCCCGGCGGGAATGAGGAGGGGGAGGGCGGGAAAGGGGTGGGGGGACCCGGCCGGGAGAATTCGGGGATGGGATCCCGGGAAAATTCGGGGATGGGAGCCGGGAATGGCCGGGAAAATGTGGGAATGGGAGCTGAGAGGAGCCGGGAAAATTCGGGAATGGGATCCGGGAGGAGCAGGGAAAATTCGGGAATGGGATCCCTGGAAAATTCGGGAATGGGAGCTGGGAGGAACCGGGAAAATTTGGGAATGGGACCCCTGGAAAATTCGGGAATGGGATCTGGGAGGAGCAGGGAAAATTCGGGAATGGGATCCCTGGAAAATTCAGGAATGGGATCCCTGGAAAATTTGGGAATGGGATCCGGGAGGAGCCGGGGCTCCTGGGGCAGCGAGAGGATCCACGGAATTCCGCACGGAGACGAGGGAATTTCACTCGGAAATGCTGAAATTTCACTGGGAAATGCTGGAATTGCACAAGGAAATGAGGAAATTCTGCACGGAAACGAGGGAATTTTGCACGGGACCGGCGGGATTTCACGCGGAAGCGAAGGAATTGGGGGAATTTCGTCCGAAAATGAGGGAATCCTGCACGGAACCAGCAGAATTCCGCGTGAAAATGAGGGAATTTTGCACAGAACCGGCAGAATTTTGCACGAAAACGAGGGAATTTTGACCGGAATGGGAATTTCTCACGAGAACGAGGGAATTTTGATGGGAACCGCTGGAATTTCCCACGAGAACCAGGGAATTTTGCACAGAACCGGCAGGGTTTCACACGAAAACGAGGGAATTTTAACTGGAATCAGCGGGATTTCGCATGGAAATTCGGGAATTTTGACCAGAACCGGCAGAATTCGGGACGGAACCGAGGGAATTTTGACCGGAACCAGCGGAATTCCGCACGAAAACGAGGGAATTCTAACCGGGCTCAGAGGAATTCCACACAAAACCTCGGGAATTTCGCACAGAACCTCGGGAATTTCGCAGGAAAATTCGGGAATTTTGACCAGAACCGGCAGGATTCGGGACGGAACCTCGGGAATTTTGCACAGAGCCGGCGGAATTCCTGACGGAACCTCGGGAATTTTGATCAGGACCGGCAGAATTCCCCAGGAAAGCTCGGGAATTGCAGCCAGAAGTTCAGCCCGGGCGGCGAACCCCCGCAGAGCGCCCCGCCCCCCGCGGGCAGGCCCCGCCCCCGGCCCCGCCCAGCCCGCACCTGCGGCCCAGGTGAGCTCGGCCAAGGTGTTCGTGTGCCACTGCGGGAAGGCGTTCTCGCACCGCAGCATGCGCGAGCGGCACGTGAACATGCACCTGGACCTGCGGCCCTTCACCTGCGCGCAGTGCCGCAAGCGCTTCAAGATGAAACATCACCTGACGGAGCACATGAAAACGCACACCGGGCTGCGGCCCTACACCTGCGGCACCTGCCACCGCTCCTTCATGTGGAGGGACAGCTTCGTGAGACACCGGGGAGCCTGTGCGGGGACAGCCGGCACTGCTGAGTGACACCCGGCACACCTGAGTGACACCTGAGTGACACCTGAGTGACACCCGGTACACCTGAGTGACACCCAGCACACCTGAGTGACACCTGAGTGACACTTGTAACACCTGGCACACCGGGGAACCTGTGCAGTGACAGCCGGCACACCTGAGTGACACCTGAGTGACATGAGTGACACCTGAGTGACATCTGTCACACCTGAGTGACACCTGAGTGACACCCGGCACACCTGAGTGACACCTATAACACCTGAGTGACACCTGGGTGACACCCGGCACACCTGGGCAGGTGCAGGGACAGCCCTGTGTGACACAGTGGCACCTGTGGGGGCACAAGGACACGGGGCAGGGGACAGGACAGGTGAGCAGTGGCACCTGTCACACCTGGTGGTGTCACACCTGGGGACGGGTGACGCCACAGCTGGGCAGGTGAAGGGACACGGGGGGACTCAGGGTGATGTCAGAGGTGTGACATCATCACAGAGGGGGGCTTGGTGACGTCACACCTGAGGAGTGACATCACACCTGGTGGGCGGGGCAGGTGAGGGGGGAGGGGACAGCTGGGTACGACGGTGACGTCACGCCCAGGTGAGCCTGGAGGTGACACACCTGGATGATGTCACACCTGGCGGGGGTCACATCACACCTGGGCAGGAGGAGGGGTGTGGGCAGGTGATGTCATGGCTGGGTGAGCTGATTATGACATCACACCTGGGTGGGTGGGTGATGTCATAACCAGGTGACATCACACCTGAGTGGGGGGTGGTGGAGAGTGACGTCACCTCTGGGTAGGTGACATCATGCCCAGGTGAGCTGGTGACATCACACCTGGGTGGGTGGGTGA